CGGAAGGCTGATCCACTTTTGGAACGTAGAGTCGCTCTCTGTGAGCCACAAATCCGGTCAGAGGTTGACGTAATCGGACGGAAATTTGGAAGTTGCTTTGAGGATTGACTCGCAAGAAAAAGTGAATGATGCTCTGCTGGTAATCGTTCAACGCAATCCTTGTTTGGACTTTTGTCAGACGTTGTGCATTCTGTTTCAATGAGCCCATACTATTCATGATGTTGTCCTGATTTTCTAGACACTCTAACATCTTACTGAGAGTGTCTGTGGAAAGGGCCAGAGAGATAGTGCTTCTATGGCCGTCCGTTTGTGCTATCAGCGCTTTGGTATCATCAGCTGAGAAGGGCCATTTCAAGCTACGATAAATTATTCGCCGTTTGCCTCCGTTATCGAAGTCAGACAAGGCTTTTTCAGGCAAGTTTCAACAACGAGGAGGGTTTGCCGACATGCATGTAGGTGGTGTGCTTTGAAGGCCGAGGCTGAGTGCTCATGCTCAAGTGATGTGGCGAGAAGGGCAAGATTTTGTAAGACGCCAGACAGATATCTTGTCTGATCTGCTAAATCTCTCACTGTCTTTTCGGCGTCCTTAGCTTCCTTCACGAACTTGGAAATTTGCTGGAAGACTGTGGTAGATAATTGGACTATGCCGGCGATGCTGCCGGCTATCGAGAGAGGGTCCGACATAATGACCCAAAAAGTGACTGCTGGCAGAGAGAACTGATGCAAAAAGTGCAGGAAAAAAGTTGAAGGCCGGGGAAATAGCAGAAGTACCTACTCTGTCTGTGAATGCCACCACTCCAACAACAGTAAGGCTCTGCAGCACAGCCAGGGGCGAAGCACAAGGCAGATTAGCGCACATGCAAGCGCATTTGGTCAGTCTGCATAATGTTGTGTATCACATTGTTCTGATTTGAGGGGAGTCCGCTGCAAAAAACGCATGGGGACACGGATTGACTACGCCTAGCACCCAGTAATTGACACTCGGCTACTCATTACCGAGCAACAATTACAAATATTGTACTGCACAATCATATAGCTCGATTGCCAATTTTATGGGAATCAATCGCATCAGTCGACGGGCAGTTTCCTATACTTCTTGACGATGTTGTTTGGCTCTCACGAGAACTGTGAGCATACTCGTTCTCAGAATGGGTGACATCGTCAAGCCACTCTCTCTATGGAAAAACCATGGTCCTTTGTAAAGCGGTCGAAAAGACATAATACGTACTCTGAAGAGGAAACCCCGGAAGCTGATCCAGTCTGGTGCATGTCCGATAACCTCTCATAGTCGCTGGTGCCATTGTATGTGGATGAGTTTTATGAGTCTCATTGCAGGAAGGGTTAGATATGGTCACGCTTTCACCGAGAATTAGGATTCAATGGGGATGTGAGCAATGCAAACTTTTGCCTCCAAGCCATGGGGACTTGATTTGGAGACGCGTCCCACATCTTATAGTACATCTCCCACGCTCTAGGCTCACAGCCCCTTAAAGCAGAATTGTCTCATCAATAGTAGCCACCATTTCGGCGGCAATTTGCTCCCAGATTGAGTCTCGCTTTTGTCAGCCCTGCGAGCAATATAGGAAACTGCTCGTCATTGTCTCCACTCCAAACCCCTGAAGCCATGCGCTACCGTAGGCCTAGCTCGGCAGTGTGCCGACAAGCGGAAGCCTTCCACAAGGGTCCCCCTTCCTTGTCGAACGTGAAGATCTGAGGTGTATCTTGCAGGTCACAGCCTATGTATGCCAGTTTTCAGTACAGATCTAAATTTGCAATCTACTAGATTGGGCTTGAAAATTGATATCACGGAGCTCTAACATGACTGATGAGATTTCTTATGATAAGTCTCACGAGACATTCTGTTTATTTACCGAGGTCTTGGGGTTCTAAGGATGATTTAGGATTCGGGTTTCTATCCGGAACTGGTATTGGACAAGGATGTATCGAAATAGACTTTCTTAGCATTGTGGTAGGTTGCGTAGTTTGGATGAACCACTATCAGTTACAACGGACCTACTCTTCCCCTTAGAGCTATTCGAACTATAAAGTATCGGCCATCCTTTTTTTTGTCTGTTGTCCGTCTCGATCATAAATATACACAGGCCGAATCAATTTTTGACTGAACCTTGTTTCCGACTGTTGACTGGCAGACATCCACAGTATACGTCCCTCCAACAATTAAGAATCAACGATGCGGGCTGTATCATTGCTCGCTGTCGGCGCAAGCGCCCTTACATGGACCACGAGCGCCACTGGTCTTCACCTTCGTCCAAAGTCATCCGCACCCTATTGTCCACCTCGTCCAACCACGGCTGAAGAGCAAAGAGCTATCCTTGGAGAATTTATGGGGGCTTTTTACGAAGAAAGAAACGCCACGAAAGCCTTGCTCAATCACGTCGCCGAAGACTACATCCAACACAACCCCAACGCACTTTCTGGTCGGCAAAACTCGCTCAGTGTCCTCGAGCCCTTCATCTCCCCAAGCACGGTGAATTACACGATCATGAACACGGGGCTCGATAACAACATCGCTTACATCCACTACCGCATGGATTTCGTTGGTGTGGGGCAGCCGTTTGCAGTGGTGGACGTTTTCAGATTTAACGGGACTTGCATCATGGAACACTGGGATGTGGTGCAACAACGCCCAGCCAATGCCACCAATCCGATCGCAATGTTCTAGCCCGATCAGAATGGATGGGGGGGGGGGGGGGGGGGGGGGTGGGGGGGGTTGTGTTTCTGCAAATACCATGATTTCCTGGCAGCCGAATGCTTCTATTCTTTAGAGATGTCTCTCTTGTGTGATCGTGCGACTGAATCCTTAACATGACAACCATGCTCTTGCTCCTAGTGTAAATCGATCGAAGCAATTGGTAGGGTAAGTAAAAGAGTCACAAGATGTATGGTTTCTGGTAACAAATTCATTGAAACAATGTTGCGTCCAAATAGTGCCTGCGGTTTCATAACCATGTGTGTCGACAAATATGTTCCTAACTAGTGCCCGGTTTACAAGCTCTGGGTACGTCTCAGAAGGGGAAGAAAGTTGGCCCCAATCTCTCAGCGTCCCGAGCGATCTTACTGCCCAAAAGAGAAGGTGGGACTGGAGTTTCGGTGAAGTGATTGGTGCCGTCTCTGCGAGAGTTAGATCGCGCCGAACTCTCACCACCGGTGTTCACCTTCTACACTTTCTGGGTCACCTACATCTTTCTCTACAAGTCTGGCTCGTTTTCATATTAAATGTTTACTTTGAATTTTTCAAATACTAGCTCATCAAAATTGAGTTTATCACCATAAGCCCTGCTTTCCATGGAACGTTCCGGCGTCTGCATATAGGACATGAAAGGCAACTACGCCTTCCGTGGTTGGTTTTGGAAGACTACAGTTGATAACACATTAGACCTTGATGAATATAGGCTTTATTTTGAGGAAAATACAAGCCTTTACATAGTTTAAGCCAGTTTAAGTGATACTCCGAGCCATCCGACGAGTAGCAGGGAGCGTTGACAATGGAAACCCCAACGCAGTATCCTTGGTGATATATGGTCCGCTGCCAAGGCAAACGGTGGAATGCTGAGTGGACCTCTTTGTTGCCGCCGGTTTGGAAGTAGCGATCTTCAATCTTCATATTGAAGGATTCTTGTTTCATGTCGCATGTAACAACTGGCACAGCGCGTGCTATGAGATGCAGCATGGCATCCCTATCTAGGCGATCGCGACTGACCGGGTGTGTGAATCGTGCGTTCTTTTAGACAGCAAGGGCATGGATATGCTGGTTATACTCCTTATCGTGTCCCACGGTCCCGCTCTATTCTTCAATGTTGTCTATAGGGTAAAGTGAGAGCCCATTCAGCTCTGACAAAAGAAACGTGAACTCGGACACACGCTTCGAGCATTCTTCAATCTCCTCTTCCTTTCTCTCCCTCGAATCCTTGAAGTTTTAATAATTGACTGCGGTTCAGTCCTCGCCATCCAGCGTACCAGAGATACAAGTTCCCAGTATATCGAGTTTTCCCGCCCTCCTCCGCGGTAGTATATAAGACCCTACCATCCAGCCCATCACCAGCTCGGGAAAAGTCACTTGCCGTTGAGAGACCGTCTTTCGAGGACTTCATTGAAAACATTGAATCGCAGATCAGCCTCTGTTTCGTGTGGTTTTCTGCCGTAAGGCGATCTGAATCCCATAGCGTCGGTCGTTGGGTCTCGCCAAGAGAGCATACGGAATCCCCAGGCGCACCCACCGTGATCTTGAAGATGTGTGACATCTTCTTCAGTAGCTCGGAGTGATAGTTTTCCATGTCTAATCATCTGATATCATGATTACATGCTGAACCCCATCTGCTGAGATGCGTTTGTTCACAAAACGTCCCAACCAAGGATCTGTCCAGACGTGGAAGAGTTGTCATTGGTGTCGTCTTTCTGGCTCACCAACTTACAGTCTATTGCGCCGCCTATTTTCGTGACCAGAAGTGGGAGCCAAAACCATAGACGTGGTCGCCCGACTGAACGATTTCCTACCATGTAGTGATAGCGGACAATGGTGTTAGCAAGACCCCGTTAGTTTGAAGAATGTTTCAGTTTATGTTTATTGATGAAAGGATTCTCACCGCAACAAGATAGTACTCTCGGGTCGATTTACGAACTAGCAGGTACTATTCAAAACTAAGGCAATGTCTACGTGGACGGTTTGCCCAGTATGCAGAAAACCCGAGAAGAGCACTGTTCATGAGACGCCGACGACAATCCCCGACCATGTTAAATTCCTCTTTTGGTCTCAAAGTGCTAATTTCGGGTCGCGGCACTGTAGTACCCCGCTCCGTTATCATGTCAGACTACCCATGAGTGCATTTTAGGCTGCAATTGGATGAAATTTGATCCGACACTACATATTCTCTTATAGTTCTTGCCTAAGTCACAAGCCATTTTCTCTGCTTGCAGATTTCTTCACACAGCAATAACACCTGTCTTTAGAAAAATAGTGTCCCCCGTGTCAAAGAGCCAGTATGACCAATGAAGATGTCAGCCGTAAATCTGCACTGGTCTCGCTCTCCGCCGTTCAGGCAGACGACATATCAAGCCTCCTAAAAGTGCACACGGCAGCTTTCAAACCCGACCAGTTTTCGAACCTGATGCTTCTAAACCGCGATGAGAACGCCCACCAGGAGCTGATGGCCAAGTCGATTCAACGATGGATGTCAGATCCCACTGCCAAGCTCACCAAGGCTCTGGACGCAAATGGGAAACTAGTTGGCTGGTCGTGTTGGATCCTCAAGACCAAGTACGAAGAGGGAACTATGCCTGCTCCGAGGTCGGAATCGAACACAAGACCAAGCAATGCCGAAGCGGGCCAAGCCAAACCTGAACCTCCTGCAGCGCAAAAGAAAGAAGAACAGAGCGCACCGCCGGACCCTGCGCGAGTACTAGGCGGGCTCATGTACAAAGACATGACTTCGTGGGAGGAAAAACATCTCAAGGGCAAAAATTACATGGTACTACAGGCACTGGCCACGGATCCGAGCCATCAGCGGCAAGGAATTGCGACCAAACTAGTCCAGCATGGACTCGAAGAGGTCAACTCACAGGGCCTTCCGTGTTGGATACATGCCTCGCCTACAAGCTATACTCTGTACGAAAAAGCCGGGTTCGAGGAGGTCGGGAGGAGCGACTATGATTTGGATGAGTGGGCACCCGGGGAAAGGGAGGAAACCGAGGTTGGGGAAGGTACACATTCAGATACATGATCCGGCCAGCGAGGAGCATCGCCTAGTCATGTGGTCTTCGATACTGTGTAACTCAAGACGATTGAGCGTTCAAGTTGCCTTGCTGGTAGTTGTACAAACGGACCGTGCTCAAACAGGCAAAGACAATGGCGAACCGAACATATTTCAATCTTTTACTCTGCATCAATCATCACTCGCTCTAGAGTTTCTAAACACTTCACTCGAGTTGGGAGGATTTTACGAGGAGTTGAATCTTGTAAAAGTATAGCGGTCCGGAATGCGTCCGACGCTGGCACCAGAATTCGTGGCATTCAGTTGTCTAGAAATTACATTATGGCAACTTGGTGTAAATTATGCCCTTAGCTCTTTGAGGCTATCGCTGATCCGATGGGCTTCTAATCGACCTTGGCTTGGCGGTGGACCAAACTAGCCTACAAACTGTGACCAATTACGGATGACTCGACCGTACACTTTGGTAAAGTTCATGGCTGTGCTAATTCTACCTGTGCCAAGAAACCAATCCAGGGGTGTGAATCAAGAGCCATGATCAGTAACCCTTGGCTCAAGCTCTAGTGCCTGAATGGCGAAGGTAGACAGTGGCTTGAATGCACAGAAATTGTTCAATTTGAAGGTTTTGCTGTCCTATCTGCGATATAGGGTCGACCTCTCCCATGCATCGATGCCATTCACTCTCTACCACCTTCCCTAATGGAACACCCTTGCAATGGCGTACCCTTGGCCCCTCCGCGGATCTACGGAGAATACGAGGCCCTCAACTAGGCAGGCTCTTGGCAAAGAGAAAATCGCGTTGTTATTGTTCACCTTTGCGGCTAACCCGAACTACCGCCTCATATCAGACTCTATTAGGTCAATGAGTTCTCGGGGCTCTCTCCTTCATTACTTTGCAATCTATAGCCGCCCTGTCTATATGTTGTCGCAACTTCGCTATGCTCTTCACCCTCCTCATTGCCGCAACTGCGGCCCAAGCTGCCGCCTGGCAACCGCCGGCTTCATTCTGCGGGACTCCTGAGCCTCCAAATGGGCAAGCCTCAGTACTCCGAGCAGCCACAATAGCACAAAGAGGTGGCAGCAACCTTGCAGCCAACATCTCCGTACCTGTGTACTTACACTCAATCGCCGCCAATGAGACGGGGCTTCTAAGCGTAAGATATCTCGAGCACCCGTTCAGGAACTCGAACTGATCAGCAAATCAGGAAACCGTCCTCAGAGAGCAGTTTCGGGTCCTTCATGACGTCTTCGGTAGGTACGGAATCAGAATGACCCTGGCCGGCACCAGCCGCACCGTCAACGCCTCCTGGTCCGCCCACAGCGAGGAAATCAACATGAAGTCCGCGCTCCGTCGGGGCGATTACGGCGCGCTCAACATGTACGTCCAGGACATGTACCCGACGCTGGGCCGCTGCTTCTACCCCGTGGCGTCCGCGGCGCCGGGCTCCCGGGACTTCGTCCTCGACGGCTGCCAGATCGATGTGAACACCGTCCCGGGCGGCGCCTCGCGGGAGGGCAACGACCGCGGGTTCATGGCGGTCCACGAGGTCGGGCACTGGTTCGGCCTGGCGCACACGTTTACCGGAGGCTGCGAGGGCGGGGACCAGGTGGATGACACGCCTGCGCAGGCGACGCCTTCGTGGGATTGCGCCGCTGGCCAGGATACCTGTCCCCACCTGCCGGGCGAGGATCCCATTTACAACTTTATGAACTACCAAGCAGAGTAAGTGTCCCTATTTCGGAACCATATCATAGCTTAGTCACCTTGAATTTGAGAGATTGACTTGCCTGTGCTTAGCGATTGCTGGAACGAGTTCACCCCGGGCAGGTCAGGCGGATGCACGAACAGTGGGCGGCGTTTAGGGCGAATAGTGCTGTTTGACCGAGAGCCAGCTAATATTCTCTACATTTTTTTGAACCTGATCAACAACCTTGGTGAAACGGAGCATCTTTCGGAACGATACAAACCGACTTGGTGAGGTTCCTGCCCTCTCGACCACTGTTCTGCCCCCCGGAAGACAACAGACAATGTAGCCTACTCAGCCTCCGATGGCCACGGTTATACATTAAGCACCCACATTCGTTAGATCCAATCCTAATTTTAGAATTGCGGGATTCCCATTCCATCCAACGTTGCCGGGTTTGGAGGGGCAGGCTTACACGCACCGCGGAGATGGTGACCCGGACGCTGCGTCCATTGGACGCGGTCGACGATGGTAAGAAGGATTCCTATCCCTCTATTCCCCGGGCAAGCGACCAACAAGTCTCTTTGTTTGAAGCAGCGGGTCTTTCTTTGCGATGTTCTTATGCTTTGCTATTGTTGGAGGTGCGCATGCTTTGGCTGCAAGGGGATACCTCCCGAAGAATGCTCGGCAGTCTTGGAATCTAGACCGGATTCAGTGCATCGGATCCTTTGACATGTGGATATGTCTAGATTCAGCATACAAAGATATCTCAGATTAGACCCTGGCGAAAGGCGCAAGTAGATTTACCATGTCGAAATAGCCGGTAGTCTCCGCCTGATAGCAAGGCAATTGAAAAGCGAAATCCTCATTCAACTTCCTTTCCCCAACCATCTACCCTGCCACATTGCGAGAAACACAGGAACAGCGCACGGAGGCGACACTAGTTCAGTAGCGGCTCCAAAAGCCACTAGATAACGTTGGCAATACAAGCGGTTCTTCCAACGGATGCACCTAGCCTGTGGTAACATTGTGAATTTGCAGTGGCTGAACACCGCAGGCGCAGTCTGCACGCCCCCGAACTGGCAAACCACTCTAAAGAAGCAGTTAATTGACCGCACTGTTCCGGCGTTCAGGATGTCGCACCCCCCTTGGTGCTTGTCCCCGGCATCGGCTCCGGAATTTCCGTGTGAAGAGTGATCCGCGCATGTTGTAGCCGGCCAGGAAAGGCTGCTGCATCGTCACGGTCCTCAAACGAGACCAAATTTACACCAATTCGTCATATATCACTTCGACCAAAGGACTCGTGAGCCCAGAAGGGAGCAGTTCTTCCTACAAAGGTCTCAAACGTGGACTGGCGACACCCAGATACCAGCGCTACGTCTTGCGTGTCGGAATTTAGAGTAAAGTGGTACGGTCAGATATCCGAGGGTGGTAGTTCCCGCTACGCCCGCCGAGGTTGATACCTGAGAACGATTCTCTACATGCTGCAAGCCTGCCGAAGCGACACTGATGGGGCCAGAAAGGACGGCAAGGTTCTAAGTCACATAGTGACTCGACAAGAGACGGACCAAAGGCTACCATGCCGACGGGTGTCGGAAGGAGAGGTTACAAGCGGACTACCGAAGATGGATCGAAAGAGGTCGACAGCATCACTTGCTCTCGGTATGCACTTATTCCTTGTGTCCATGACCACCCTAATGCAATGTGAACTGTTGGTCATGTCCAACTGAACACTTGAGTACTTAGTTGGTGATCCATAAGCAGTAACCAATACGCGACACGTCCTGTTAGCCTGTTCGCGCGAGACCTTCTCAGTTGTTTCGCTCCGAATATTTACGTGCTGCGCCCTCGTCTGGCATATTACGGCACCCGTATGTTGCTTTGGATGGTTGTCTCTACGCCTTGCCAGTGCAGGCAGAATTCGTCATGTGAGGGGTGAGCAAGCAGTCGAGAAGGGACACATGCAGCCGCGACCAGCTCGACCCCTCCAACAATCCGTAGTCATCGGCAAACACATCCAATATCCGCGCCTCTAGCGCCAACGAGCAACAACACCAACACGCCTGGTTGCGACCTCGCAGCCGACAAGCGCACCTTACGCCGCTCCCCCCTCGCGTCCACGCAGCCAAGCGTCCGAAGGAACAGACGAGCATGAAAGCCAGCAACTAGCGCAAACGGGGGCAACCTCGTCGGCAAACCGCGGCTGAGCTCGGTGCCATCAAGTCAAATGTCGGTGGGAGGCTGCCGTGATACCTGACTGCAGCAGGTAGTCCAACGTTGGCATGCGACGTAAGCGCCCCCCCTCCAAGCCACGGCGGGGGGTAATTGGCTGGACGAACGCCATGCGGCCGCGCGCTCCACTGCCGCGGCGATTGAGCATTGGCCAGAGACGAGAAGAATTGATTATGTGCAGGCGGACTACGGCAGACCGTGCTTTAGTCCATCTGCGAGCTGCTTCAGTCGGCGGATTTCGTCTGTGGAACTGGAAGTTGCGGTCCGGCGCAGTCTGCAGAAGAGGTTGTGAGCTTAGGATCGCGTGAGGGTTGCTTTCCTGCGCGAACCCCTCATTCTGAAGCGAATTAGCCTGAGGATGGCCCCAATGAGGGCCTCGGTATCTCGGAAGAAGCCCGAACGACGCAGACGAAAAAGACTCTTTGATCAGCCCGATGCCCCGGAATCTGCTGAGGGTTGGGGAGTTGGTGCGCCGTGGTTCATGACACCTCCTAGTGTCCGCGCCGCACGTAGCGCGTCCGTTGGAGGGACCTTGGTTTTGGAGCTTGCCTGATCCATGCTCCTCGCAGCTCCAGAAGACGGCCAAGACGAATGCAGGACTGAGGCACGCAATTTGACTGCGTGTTGGACTTTGGGTTGCACCGGTTGAATTTTTTCAAGTTCCAAACCTTGCGATAACGAAGGCAGGATGTGCTTTTGACAGCCTGATTTCGAGGCTTGGCGTCGATCAGACGGTCACAGCCCCCGAGAAGGTACCAATCCCTTGGGTCGGCCGACTGGGAAACACTCTCGACACATCGTCGGACTGCCTTCTGAAGAGAGTTCCTAGACGAAAATTCCCCTGGATACCTAGTTGGCAGGTACTGGCGAGTTTGAGCCAAGCCCAGCCCCAAGCTGTCATCTTTGTCGTTCTGTTGCCAATACGTAATGGAGTCTCGAAGTGCCAGAAGAGCTGCAGGGGGCATCACAAAGTCGCAACATTGGTGCACTGCTTATGAGTTGGTGATGGTCATCTTATCACGGATAGGCAGTCGGTTTGATCGTCGCACATCGATGAAAGTCTGGACGAACCCCGAGGTAGGGCTTCGCGAAAAAGGCGATGGCTCCATTCGTGTGGGTTGTTGGTCGCCCGGGGGCGGGAACTGTTTGGGCGGGATTGAAAGTTGGGGGATGAGGGGATTCGGAGCGAATATGGTCAGTGCGCCGCATTCTGAAACGTGGGCTAAGGCTTAGTGGCCGTTTGAAACGGAAAGTTTACCCTCGCTTGGAAACCTGCGAGGAGGAAATCCCGCTCGTCATTGTAGAATGGCCCGCAACGCGACGACCGTGCAGAATTGGCTTTGGCATTTCTGACAAGTCCTGCCTGATCAGTCCAGGTGCGGGCGGCGCGGATCATCTGAGACGCCATCGAACACGAGGTTTTCGTCCCATGTTGATGTTTGTGATCGGCTCAAGGGGTTAGATGAAGTGCAAGGTTGCCGGTAGTGCTTGTCTATAGCTTATCCCTGCCCAGCCCAGTCTCTTTCTCCGAGGGCCGATATTGGCATCGAAATGACACCTGGGATAATACGGAGGTTTGAGTTGCGATCTCCCATGGTTTTCTGCAGTCGCCTCATCGTTCCTCAAACCCATCATGAAGCGAGAGCGACGCCCTGACAAGTTGACGAGAGTTGCAGTATTCCAAATTTGCGAGTCAGAGACGGCAAGGCTACCAAGACTACCTCCCAAACGGAGACTCCGCAAGCCCGCGCATATCTGCGCATATAGAGTTTAGACCTGAGGGAAGGGCTAAAGCTTAGGACACGGAGCTCAGTGTGCCCTGTCAGTAGCTCCAAACTTGAAAACTCACCGGATTATGGGCAAGGAACTATTAAGATTGGCCGGCGACGTCCGGCTCCAGGAGCAGGGTAACTGAGAGTTGGTCAAAGTGATGTTGCCCCTGAAGACTTTTGCCGCATGTCAAGCGACGAGCGTTGTGGTTCAGCGAAGCCATCAGCATCAGAAATGTCACTGGTGTGGTATTGCAGATTTCCAAACGACGTGACGGAATCGAGCCATGTTTCAGGCCTGGCATGTTGGATAGCATTGCCTACGAAGATGGGAAAGCTGAGCAAGCAGGCAGAGAACCCCCTCCGAGAAGGTCGGATCTAGAGTTCTTGTCAGGAGAAGACGAGTTCCAGTCGCGTCGGAATTAGAGTAAGTGCAGTCGCGATGTGATGATTGTGGATCCTCGGTGGAGCAGCGGACGGTCGTGCCCGCTACTGTTCCCGCGGCGAACAGTGCGCCGACTGCAAGGAAACGAAACGTTCGGGATGCAGGGGAGAAGCACGCCGAGAAGACGACGACGGGACGGTAGGAGCAGGCCGGTTGCGTCGGGAGCCGTCGACATGTCAAGCAGTCAACGGCCGGTTATCTTTCAGGGTGGAATCGAAGACGTGACGGCCGGGGAAAACGTCCGCTTGACCAGCCACAGGGGTAAGACGCATCCTGTCATCATCCGCCTCTGTACGGCAGAGGGTATTTTGCGATCAAAGACTGGTGTTCCCCAAATAAAGAGGCACCCGTCAGCATTGGCAGCAGCCGCTTATTGAGCCAGTCAGCACGCGGGTGGGATCCAGAGGTCTCGGGCCCTCGAGCAGCCGTGCTATATTTTGCGAAGGAAGTGCAGTGCCTAGCGGGAGCGTGGCAGCCGGACCCCGCCCGCCGTCATCCAGTCATCGAGGCTTGAAAGCGGATTAGCGGGAGGAAACAGGCGCACGAGGATGGATTCGTGAGGGGCTAGACTGCCAGCTTAGGCGCGCCCACCCGCGATGGTCGAACGGCCACAAGAATACGGAATGGTTAGGTGACATCAAGACGTTGTAGCTCGCGGCGCCGGACTCGGCGACCCTGGCACAAGCTCGCGCCACATTGGGAGTGGGTATTGGGACGCATGGTGGGTTGCAAAAAGGAAATGAAGTCGTTTGACGACCCAAGATGGGCAAGAGTCTGAATCCTACACTACATGCATGTTAGCGGCCCTTTCACGCCAAAGGAGGTGTGCGAGTCAACAGAGTTGGCATCATGTCGGCTATCTTGTACCAGGTGCTCGTCCGAAAGCTTCAGCATCTCGAGGGCCGCGGATGGGCGTCAAGCCAAGGATGGTGACCAAGAGCCTTGGCCCTGGTGATCCGCGCGCTTTCAACGTTCCAAGCAAAGCCCCAAGAAAGAGCGAGATTCATTGTCAGCGACTGGGCGGACGCCACTGTTTCCCAGTATAGCACAGCTCGGGTATGGCTTGGCGCTGACAGCAATGGCAGGCCTTTCTTTTTGTCATTTCCCTTTGACAGAGGGCCGTACTTCGCCCTCGCCAGGATCAGCAATCAGCACTTGTTGGGAACTCTGGTCGGAAGATGAGATTGCCGCGGCCTTGGTAAGTTGTCACCCGTGGCTGAGTGGCAGGATGGGACTAACAGAGGGAGAGAGAGAGAGAGATCATCGGCTGCATGGTAATTCGTCTCTAGGAGCGTGTTCTCTGGTTCATTGTCTACTATGTATGCAGTCAGACGGGTGGGACGCACGCCATGCTCGCCGTGCAGGGAGTAGCATCCGCGGCCGTCCACGAGGCCTTTGGCAGCTTTTGCAGTGACCAGGTTGACTGAGAGACCGATGACCGCAGTAAGTACATAATAATTCGAAGTGCCAAAGGCGAGAGGGAACGAACGAGACGGCCCCAGGGTTTGTGAAAAGTGACGGTGCGTGTTGCGTTGCAGTGGGAATGGAAAGAAAGACGCACGTAAAGGCCGGCAAACAGGCCCTTCCCAGCCACTGGCAACCCCACCCCCATTCCATCAACGTAGGTAGGTAGTGTAAGGTTCTTTCCTGCCGTCTCCGTCTCCGGCGTTTGGTGGGCTGCCTTGCGACCTACCTTGACGCGCATTGCGCCAGGCATCCCCGCAGAGCGGCGGCGGCAGGGGTTCACCGCGGTGGTGGTTGCCGTCCTCCTCCTTTGCCTTTTGCACCTGCCGTTTCCTCGCTTGGCCTCGAACCCCCCCTTCGTCTCATGTGTCCGGCCAAACAGAGGGACAAACTTTTGGGTGTGTGCACGCCGCTCCACGTTTCCGCTCGCATGCTCCAACTACCTAGTTTAGAGCTGTTCGATCCATCCCATTCCCTCGCGGCGACCTGCCTGCCGTGTTGGCCTGGTCTTGCGAGAAACCCGCAACGGCACAGACTTCCCTCTCCCGTCCCGAGAGATGGCCTTGCCCTTCGCCTTGCCCTGCCCTGTCCTGCCTCGCCTCGCCTCGCCTCGAAGGGGGACAAAGCTAATGCTCGACAATGACGGCAAGGTAACCCTTCAAGACAGAAACACAAACCTCCCAACGTGATCCAGGGATCGCATTCCTCCATCCAGAAGGTTGCGTCCGTGTTCCTTGTCCCCCCTTCTCTCTCTCTCTCCCGCGGCCACAGCTCCAGGTGCATCAAGTCTCTCTCACTCTCTCTCCCCCATGAAGATGGACACATTCGGATGCCATCATGGCCCCCTTCCTGATCCCTGCTTCGCCTCGCATCCTGAAAAAGGAAGCCTACCTTACCTTGTCAGACCGGACGAGAGAGTGCGCCTCGTTCGGGTGTGGATGATGGCAGGTCGCATCCAATTCCTAGTTTCCGGGTCCCTCTTCCCAGCTCGCCGCCTTGCCCATCTTCCAGACTCGATATAAAGTCTATCCTCCAGCTCCGTCCTCGTCTCTTGTCTCCCGGTCCGTCTCACAGCATAAACCTTCCTCGTCTCTTCAACTCTCTCTCTTGTTTGCTCTCCTTGGCACGAGTTTTATTTACTCTCTGCATTTACCTATTTACAAGACGGTTTTCCCGCACTTGTCTCGTTTATTACTCTTCCATCTCCCGCCCGCATTAGCCTCGCTTCCTGTCTCGGCCCAAGAACACACACCCGTGCCATCCACCCCATCGCCACGCGTGTAAGCGCCGTACCTAAATTCAGCTCAAATTACCCACACACCCGCCTCCCCCAAGGTCGTCTCCAGAACGGCCCGCCGCATTACGCCCCTACAAACCCAGACCTGCCTGCTTATTTCCTCGGGAGGAATCTTTTCTTAGATCCGAAATCTCTGTCTTTTTTGCGTGTGGCCTGGTAGCTACTGCATATATCTATATTGCCTCCCTGCTCCGCGTCTCTGCCTCTCCCACCCAACACTCGTGCCCGAGGTCCAGTCTATCACCAACCGCAAACAGTCCAACATGCTCGCCGAGACCTTTCTCTTGTTGGCCTCCCTGGCTCTCGCCTCCGCCGCTCCGGCAAAGAGGCAAGCCGGCCCCGGCTGCTCCAAACCTACCGCTCCGACCCTCCCCATCAACGGCAACGGTATGCTGCACCCACTTACATCCCCTCTCCACGAAGCCCTCACTAACACGCTCACCAGGCGCCGAACTTCCCTCGGCGGCATCTGACCTCGTTCTGAAGCACATCGCCCTCGGCCACGGCATCCAGAACTACACCTGCGCCTCCACAAACAGCTCGGGCACAACAACCCTGACCCCCACCGCCGTCGGTGCCCTCGCCGGCCTCTACGACGCCCAGACTCTCTACCCGAACTCCGGCCCCGGCTCCCTCCCGTCCGTCGACGCCTTCAACGCCCTCACCACCAACGCCGTCTGGAGCGCCTCGCTACCCCTCGTCTCCGACGGCGTGTCCCCCTTCGGCGCCTCCACCTCGGCGCCCTTCAAGGCCTTCGCGGACCTCGTCCTCCCCAACATTGCGCCCATGAAGCAGATCGGCGAGCACTTCTTTGACAACACGGGCGTACCCACATTCAAGATCGGCGATGATCTCTTCAAGGGCGCCAAGCTCAACGGCACAAAGGCCCCCTCGTCCGCCGACGTCGGCCCCGAGAAGACGGGCGCTGTGGACTGGCTGCTGCTGGGCGACAAGGGCGGCAGCAAGGGTGTGACGGCCGTCTACCGCGTCGTCACGGCCGGCGGCGTCGCACACAAGTGCACCACGGCCGGCGCCAGCGACAGCGTGCCGTACGCGGCCTACTACTGGTTCTACGGCCCCAAGGCCTGAGCTCGTCGTTCCCGTCCTGCGGGGGAGTTCTTCTTCCCCTTTTCTGGCGTTGAAAAAACAAATCAGGGGGTTCAACTGGCGTTACAAGGCAGTCATCGGGGATGGCATCTGATCTTTTCCTTACAACGGGGATTTTGTTGGTAATTTTTCTTTCCGTTTCCCTCTCAAAAAACTTGGGATATACCCCCGGCGCGGATGAGACGGGTACCGCGGAACGATGTAATCGAGGCTGGGTCTGGAAAGCGCATCGTCGGAGCGGAGACGAGAGACGACATTTCCTTGCCGTTTTTTCCCACATGTATTTACTAGGCGTTCTACACGGTACATAGTCCACCAATTGGCCACGACAAGGCCAATTCTTGCAACGGTTCGCTCCCTCGTGGAATGTTTCGCAGTGACTTTCATCGACCCGTGAACAGGCAGTGAATGGTTTGAGGACAAACTGCCGAGGACTCGGTCACGAGACGTCGGTGAGGGCGAAACCTTACCTAGGCCATGAGTTCCGTTGACGAGGGTAGCTGAGACAAGAGTATCGCGGGGAAGCTTTGCACGAGAAACGTTTCCATGGCAAACCGCCTTCGGCTTCGTCGTAGTCGCATGGTGAAGAGGAAGCTGGAAAGCCACGTCAGCCGCAAAAACAAAACAAAAAAAGACAATTTCAACTGAAACCTGCATGACCGCCACCAGTCACTTCGGCTGGCGGCCGAGATTAGCTGAAGCAAGATTGATTGATTGCGTGCATGGAAAAAAAGACAACAACAGGCCGCTAACTGCCGACTAGAGAGATGCAAACCCAGCAAGAGTGCTGACACGCAAACGTGGAATCGTGGGTAAGGAATTAGGTAAATTTGGAGACTTCTTGTCATCTTTGTCGTGTTCGTTCACCCCCTCAGGTGATCTAGACCCCTCCCAATGTCTTGTCTGTCCTTCTCTTTTTCTTCTCCCCCTTTGCACCAGAAGAATGGTCGTCATCCAAAACAATGCCTGCATCTTCTAGCGGCTCAAGCCCTCTCCATCTCGGACATGCCATATCTCGAAATGACTTCATATCCCAATATTCTCAAATTCGCTCGCCTGGCATTGCACGCCAAACAAGGTTTTCGCTTGCCATTGATGCGCGCAGCGCAACGCGTCTGTCCTCGATGAGTGCAGCTTTCTACCTCCGATGGTCGAGACCACCGGCAAGATCGGCCTCCAGGCCGCCTCCCTGGCCGGCGTACTCTTGCGGTCGGGGATCCGAAGACGTCCATCCGGGGTTTCCTGACGGGATGGGAACCTGGCTGGCACCGGGCTGCTGGCCGGCAGCCTGTGCGCCGGCCTGGGTAGCTCCGGGGACAGTGCGGACCAACTGGCGGAAGCGGTAGACCTCGTCCAAGATCATCTTGCGCATCTCACCGACGTCCTCGACGACTTCAAAATCGAAGTTGAAGGTTGTCGGGCAGTCGGGCTCATCCGAGGCGTCGTGCCAGATGTGCAGATAGGGGTGCTCGAGAGCTTGCTCGACGCTAATGCGGCTCGAGGGGTCAAAGGCAAGCATGCGGTCGAGCAGGTCGAGAGCGTCGGGGTTGGCCGAAGGGAACAGGCTGGAGAAAGTCTTCTTGGGCATGAAGGGAAGGTTGCGCACGTATTCCTGGGCACGGGGCGAGCCGATGCGAGACAGGGTCTCTTCGTTGGGGGTTCCGAGGATGTGGAGAATTTGGTTCAGCTGGTCGACGTAGTCACGGCCCTTGAAGAAGGGACGGCCGCCAAGCAACTCGGCCAAGATGCATCCGACCGACCAGACGTCAACTGTCACACTGTTAGTCACGTCCTCTACACATGATTCGTAATGCTATGCGCCAGGACCACGTACTAGCTTTGGTGTAGCTCTGGAAGCTCAGCATAATCTCGGGAGCACGGTACCATCTCGTGGCAACGTACTCCGTCATATAACCGGCATTCTCCTCGGGGTCGACGGAGAAACCACGCGCCAGACCAAAGTCGCAAATCTTGAGCTCGCAGTCGGCGTTCACGAGCAAGTTGCCGGGCTTCAGGTCGCGGTGCAGGACGTTGGCGGAGTGGATGTACTTGAGACCGCAGAGGATCTGGTAGATGAAGGACTGGAAGTGGGCGTCGGTCAAGGGCTGGCCGGATCGGATGATGGCCGCCAGGTCGCATTCCATCAACTCTGGAGCCACAAAGCACGGATTAGCAAGCTGCCTCGGGGTTGCACAGAGGGCTGCAAGTGAGGGAATGCGTACCTTCGTAGAGGTAGGTCTCGTTGAAGTTATCGGGTCGGGGAATGTCCATATCGTACAGGCAGGTGATCTATGGTAACAGGCCGTCAGCATTCTGTCGAGGACGTTGCGTGCAGCCGAGTGGCGCAGACTGCGGCGCGCGGGGTTGTTGGGACAGCTTGGGTGGAGGCGTGAATGGCAAAGGACTCACGTTGCGGTGTCCCCTAAAGTGCTGGAGCAGCTTGATCTCGCGCAATGCGCGCTTGGCGAGGATCTTCTTGCTAAAGACATTTGTGACCTTCTTGATGGCGACGCCCTCCTGAGTCTGGTTGTTCACGGCGGCACTGAGTGAGGGGAAGGGGTCGTCAGCTTTCTGGGCAGAATGGCGGGGCAGTACGAGCAGCAACAGCAGCAAGCAGTTGCAGCGTGGCGAGAAGAGGGGGAAGGACGGAAAGGTCGCACGCACCAGACAATGCCGTAAGCTCCCTGGCCGAGCTCCTTGGTGACGGTGTATCGCTCGTCGACGATGAAGTCCTGGTTGAAGACCTTGAAGACCTTGCGTCCCTGCAGATCAGCCATCTTTGCGAGATTTCCTGGTCGGGTTTATTGTCGGGGAACGCTGTCGTGGTTTGTTTTCCCGGTGCTTGAATGTTGCTGCTGTGTCGAATGCGTCGAGGAATCGAGGGGTATCTTTTGCGAGTCAATCGAGGCAAAGGTGGGGAAGCGAGCAAGGAATGCGATGCGATGCGACAGTTGCGGAACAGACAGGGTAGCGAGGCTCGGCGGGAAGAAAAAAAGAATGATGGATCGTCCACGCAGCAGAATAGGCGAGGGGAGGCGGTAAGGTGTTATATGTCCCTCTTTTTCTTTTCGGCTCCCGCTCTATTCGGCCCAAAGATGACGGATGACAATGCAGTGTCGCCGAAACAATCCTCGTCTTTGTCCTGCAGGGGTATGCTGCTTGCGTGAGAGCCTTCGTTGGATGAATGTTTGGATGTGAAAGAAGGGAAGATGGGAGAAGGGCAGCGAGAGAACGAGCCAGATATTGTGCAAAAGTGAACGAGGAGAAGATAGGTAGGCACCTTGGGATATAGGACGAGGGCGATGGGGGGGGGGGTAGAAATGGGGGATGGGATGGCATGGGACGAGCAGAGCAGGTCAGAGCAGGTCAGGTCAGGTCAGGTCAGGTCGGTTCGGGTACCTCTCTATGTTTATGGGATGGAGACTCTAGGAAGGTAAAAGCGATGAAATAGGTAGGTAAGCCATGGTCAAAGGCACGAGCCGAAGGGGGAGGGGCAGCGTCAGGGACTGGACCGCAACGGGAAAGGAGATGGGAGAGGGGCAGCTGTCCCGTCACACTTTCATTGAAGTGGACTTTGTCGTTTGGATTGGACAGGACCCGGGATTGGGGAATGGAGACTGGGCCACTTGACGGGATGCGATACGATGTTCTTGATGATTCGCAACACTCGCCCTTGTCTCGTTAATCTTACTATGCATAGCAAACCTCCTTTGAAGAAAGGCAACAGGGAACAAGAGCTCTCGTCGTTGCATGTCTCTCTGCCTTGTGGAGGGGTTCTCCGGGTGTGTCACGGCACTGAAGATGGCTGTCTTCAAGTTGAAGGATACTCCAGCTGCTTTCTGCGTGGCAGCAGGGAGAGGCGCAAGGTACAAGGTACATGCTGCTGACGTTAGGCTGGAAGCGACTTGGCGGGAATGACCCACACCTAGCACCCGGGCCCGCACTTGATTTGCTGGCTTGAACATTATGAGGCTTTTGATTGGTCTGTTTCTGAAGGCCCCCCCCCCCCCCATTTGCTCCGGGGCCAGTAAGCGCTGAGCATCGTGACTGGAACTGCAGCTCTGCAACCGCGCGACAAAGCATCCATGATGGGGGCACCAGGGAGTCATCAATCCCCGATGGGAATTACATATGGATCCAGGAGGACGCTCAGAAACGGCCTCACTACATAGCCGGGTGCCATCGAGTTTTGGGATGGGGGCGAGAGTTTGGGGTTCCGAGACTGCAATCTCTCCCTCGAGGTGAGATCCCGACCAGCTGGCACATACTGTGGGTGCTCTCTGGAATGCGACTCCTGGAGCTGAAGAAGCTTCTGCGATAACATGAGCACTATAATACCACCGGCGGTATAGGGAGAGCCGTGACCGCCGGCCACACGTTGCCACATGCCGTCTCAGCCGCATCTCACTCGAGCATTTCGTCCGTCAGCGCAGGATGAAGTAGGTTGCCCACATTCAGAGCTTCGTGTCACCTCTAACCAACGAGACATGTCAGCTTCTGGCGCTCCAACGACCCTCACTCGCGCGAAGCCCGACACCGCGGCCCCCAAGCAGAAGCTGCTGTCAGCACGGAGCGTTCCCTCCAGACTACCGCGACCTGTCGTGATCCAGCTCGGCGTAAGCCGCCGCCGCTGTGACAACACTAGGCCGGGCCAACGCGGCCACCACCGAGACCTACTGTAGATCCCACATGTGCCTGTAGGGCTGAAGAATGCCCTCTCCTCCCATCCTCTCCTGACTTCCATCTTTCTGGCCATCTATCCTCGGCCCGTCAGACTCTGTCCTGCGGTGCCAGTTGGCCAAGTGGCCGTTGCTGCACGAGAACGCTAGCATCACTCCAAGTCCATCTCGCTTACGCACAAGTCCACCTTGGGCCGTCTTCAACGGCGCCTAGGCTCCATCCTCAACACATCGTCGGTCACCCTTGCACGTCGCACCCTCGTAGCTGCACCCTCGTAGCTGCACCCAGCATTGGCCGTCAACGGGTCCGCATGGAAATCGAATCTTCTATATGCAACTTGCAACTGTGGAATCAAACAAGACACGCTGATATGCCCCTCCCAATGCCTGCCTGTCTGTACATCTCTGGATGCAGCAGTAATCATTTCACCAGTGCGGCTGGCCCTGTCCTTTTTGTCAGGTAGCCCGCCGTATCCCCCCCCCCCCCCCCCCCCCCCCCCCCCCCCCCTGTCCCCGCTCCGAAGCCGCACCGTGGACGTGATCATCATCGGCGACAAAACTTTTCTTTCGCAATGGTGGACCATATCCCTGCTGCAATACGTGCCGCCTTCCAACACATTCCACGACTGGCCGCGAGCTGCTCGTCTTTGTCCTCCGGCGCCGATGCCTCTCGATGACAAGTCGCCGTCCCTTATGCCTTCGGGTCGATGTTGGGGAAAACGTGCTTCAGAAAGTTGCCGGAAAACCGCGTGCACTGCTCGTAGGCCTTGGAGAAGCCCTCGTCCCCGCCGTAGTACGGGTCGTCCACTACTTCTGGTCTCCGCCCTCCCGAGAACTCGCCAAACAGCATCACCTTGGCCTTGGAGTCCGGGTTGCCCCGTTGCTGGAGGTTCTGGAGGTCTCGCAGGTTCGACCGGTCCATGGCGAAGATGTAATCGAACTTGTTAAAGTCGGATGGCGACACCTGTCCGTCAAAGAAACTCGCGTCAGCTACTGTTGCGCGGCTGCTTCACGGACGCGTCCGTGAGCCCGGGGACTCGGGAGAAGAGCTGTACCTTGCGACCGGCGTGGCGGTAATCCGTAATACCGTGGTCCTCGAGCGTCGCCATCGTACGCGAGTCTGGGGGATCGCCAACGTGGTAGGCCGCTGTTTGTTCCGTGACTCTCGTGTCAGCGAGTGCGCGACAAACCGGGAGGGTTTACTTCATGACGTATTCGCGCGTACCTGTACCGCAGGAATCCACCTTGGATATGAGGCCCTTGTACGGCGGCTTCTGCGCAATGTTGCGGAACACACCCTCGGCCATGGTCGAGCGGCAGATGTTGCCGAGGCAGACGAAGAGGACTGATACCGGCTGTTCCGTCATTGTTTCTTTGGCAGCGCTGGGTTTGGTTGGGTATGCGGGAGAGTCTTCGTCGCGTTGCGGGAGCTGACTTTTGTTCAGGACCGAATGCCCCGCGGTGCCGCTAATCTTAGCTAGATGGAGGGGCAGTGACGCACCGTGGGATCTGGTGGCGATCGCACAGTATGCACTGTGGGTGGGTCCCTCGTTTCGTCACCGGCAGGTCGACCGCCTCGGTTCCTATTTTCCCTTGCTCACATCACAGTCTGGCGCTTCTGCCTCGGTTCCACACGCTGCTTCCCATGCCTTTTGTGTCAACTTTGTTCTGATTTCAGAAGAAATGACTTTGGCCGATTTTTTTTCTACGTTCGATTCCTCCTTACATTCGGTTTAAAATCACATTGTTGTCTACCAGCGATCCAGGGCTCTCTGGGAACCTAGAAGTCTACTTCTCGCCTCCTACATTGTCTGGGACCTTTGTTGGTTCATCTCTATGATCACGGTGCATGCAAGATCCAATTCGCTGCATGTCATGCTACGTCACTATTTACTCGGCGCGTCTCTCTGTCGTTGTCGTCGTCGAGGGAAACTCGCTTTCACATTCCATCGCACAACCAACTCTTAGTCGACACAGAGTAGACACTCCGAACCCGGGGTCTAGGTAGTCATGGAATGGCCTGCTAAAGTAATTTGGCTTTGACCTCGGCGCAAATCGGACCTACGATCCTTGAGCGGGAGGGTGCAGCAGGGTCGGAGAGCAGGCGAACCGCTGACCAAAGAACCAGCGATGCCCTTGTTGATGGTCAGCCCCTTCGACGACAGACGAAAGCGGCGGGACCGTTGATACGATAAAGCGACTAAGAGCACAAGAACGCCTACCGATCAAAAGAAAGCCACCAGCACTGCCAAGTCTGAGCCTTATCCTCCCTGTGCGACCTCTACCTCGACTTGTCGGAAAATACCGACTCACTTCGACATGAGAATTTGGAAGCATACCATGGCGACGGATCTTCCGACTCCTTTCCAGGTCGTTGTCTATGGTCCGGTACTGATCTCTGCATCGAATGCGCCGGAGACTAGCAATACGCTTATGAGTTTGTCATACACGTAAGTTACAACACCAGCGGAACGCCACTGAAGAAAATGCCAGAACAATGCCGGGACGGCATATTATATAATTCCGCCGCCAACTGAGGAAGATGCGCCGCAGCAAAGTGGCCGCCGCGCCGCGGTCAGCCATACCACGTGTTGGTCAAATTGCAGTTTCGGATTCGGCGAATTGTCAGTCGACTAACTCCGACTTTCCGTTTGCATTCCTTTCCACTCACCAACATGATGCCCAACCACTTGAAATGACTGCCAAGTCCACTACGCTCTTCACGTGCCGCCGAAGCCCTGAACACTCAGCTAGGATCGCCTCAACGAGAGTGCTCCCTATCCTGTTCATTGCTTGGGATTGCCAAAAGCCATGTTTGCGGATCACCAGGGGAATGCTCAGAATCCGTCTCCATTCGGACAAGTTTCGAATACCGTTGCCTCCACGCAGGTGGTACCGCATCCCAGGTTTTCCGCTGCGACTCACCTGAGCGGCTTCCACGTTTACTTGGCAGGCCACAGCGGCATGCTGTCCTGCGCAGTCTAAAGCGAAAGCCCGGAAGAAAGCGATTGTGCTTTCACTGGGACGGTATGCCCGCGAACTTGAGATTCCGAGCGAGCGGATCGGGGAAGGCCCGACTGCGCCAAACCCCATGAGCTAACAAAAAGATGCAAGATGGTAATCCCATATGAGCGATAGATACGAAAGCACTATCTAGAACAGGCTAGCGGTAGACTCGTCTATGTAGCGGCCATGCAGTAACAAAAACCATTTGCAATCTGCACCTGGCTCACCGGGGCAATACCAATGATGTCGCAGCGCTCCTGCTGGAAAAATGAAGCGCATCCTATGAGAACCCTGCCATCCCATCTCCAGGTCTAAGGTGCGGGAGAGGCACGGGCTCACGGACCAGACCATTGGACACCATAGGTATGAGAACGGATGTCGGCTAATGCAGGTGTGCTGAGCGAGATCCGTTCGCGAGAGAAACTATTGGTGTGATTGGTCAGGCATTGCCATTTCCCCTCCGACCTGCATTTTTGACAGGGGATCGCGGAAAGCTTACATGATGATGCCGATGAGCTTAATCAACCTCGCTGGGCCAACATTCCTCAGACCGCCCAACGAAATTGTCAACGTCATGCTTGCTAAATCCGAAGCGCGGGAGTCCCCGGAAAGATGCCTTTCTTGTGAGTCTAGACTCCTGCGGACAAACGGGCAAATGCCTTTACACAAAAAAACTCAGCTCCGCATGGGTCGTCGTTCGTCGATGTGCGCTTATACGTTTGCGGAGGATCGATTTCCAACTCAAGGGTGCAAAATGGATGCTACCGACTGACCCAGAACCAGGTCTAGCCGTCTTTGTTCCGTTGAGCCTTGACTAGCAAATGCGCCTCGAACTGCTAGACAGCAGAGGAAAACCGAGCCAGTCCAAGCGGCCCATTTCACCAGTATGACAGGTGCCTTCTGCCTGGGGCGCCATGGGGGGCCGATCATCGCTGAACAGACAATCGACATACTGCTAGCGACAGAACAAGACACCTTGGACGGACATCGAACCGAGGCAGTGAGGCCTCTTGATTCGCCTCACTTGGCTCGAGACCAGTGATCCTTTCCGTTATCGTGGCCCTGCCTTTACCCAATCCGGGGTGCAAGACGCTTACAGGGCGCTGGCGTCGACCGCGTCTTGGCTGTGTTTGGAAGCTCTGAGTGGGTGATCTGGCTGGACCTCATCCATTCCGGCGGTTGTTTGCTGCTTAGACTGCGGCTTGGCGGACTCATCGGCGTTCTGTATAAGACTGCTATGTTCCCTCGGGTACCTGGCTTATGTTGGTTCTGATGTGCTCTGCTAGATCATCTACACCTCACGCTCTGCATACAGTCTCATCGCAGCCTCAACAACCTGACCCTGACTATCATTGCCCAGATCCCGAGGCTCACCATACCGTTAACACTCAGTCAAGATGAAGTACGCCGCCATCGCTTCCCTGTTCGTCGCTATCGTCGCTGCCGAGACGGTCGACCAACTCGTCGCAGAGATTCCTACCTGCGCCGTCAACTGTATCCGCGACGCAGCACAGTCGGTCAACTGCGACATCCAGGACTTTGCCTGCTCGTGCTCGAAGATCACGCAGCTGACTCCCGCCGTCGTCTCCTGCCTCGCCACATCCGGTTGCAGCTCGACGGACCAAGCCAGTACGTTTGCCTCACCTCTTTTGATGGCTGAATCACCTGGGAGGGGCTTGAACAGTCGACTAACGTGTATAACCCACAGAGGTCTTCCAGCTCACGCCTCAAATCTGCTCTCAAGTCGGTGAGAGCAACGAGGTCTCGGGCGCCGTCACCGCCGCCACCGCCGCCCCCACCACCACCGGCACCGCTACGGGTGCCGCCGTCACCTCCACCACGTCGCCCGGCGCCGCCGCCGGCAGAATGCAGGCTGCTGGGTGGGCCGGTGCCATCGCCGCCGCCGCTGCCTTTGCCCTTTAAGCCCTGAGCATCGCCCGACCGGACTTTGTACTTTTTTTTCACTTTTTTTCTTCCAACTCTTGCATCGAGCCCAATAGGGAGGGCAAATGTGTGGTGTCGCGGAGTTTTGACGGGAAAAGAGAATCAACCTGAAAGATTATTTGAGCATCAAATTCGTGTATATTTTTGCGCATGCATGTCTAGCTTTACTCTATCATCGGCAGATTCGGCAACGACTTGCCCCAAACAAATATCCATGTCCCAAATGCGAGACCTTCCACGCATGTGCGCGGCTTTCTACACCCAAAGCTCTTATCGCATCCCCAAATGTAGTCTATTCTAGGCAGTTCTAATCGGGTATCTATCATCGTCTCGCCGTCTATCCTCACCCAATCCCCGTCGGTCTTAGCCAAGGCCAAACTTGCCCAGCGCGCTCCCATCGCCACCGTCCGCGCCGTCCAGCCAGCCGTGCAGCTCGTCCATGCTGGCGAACTGCGCGGCGTACTTCATGCCCTCGCGCCTCCTCTTCTCAACCATCTTCCAGTCCCAGGCGCCGTCGTCGGTGACGTCGCTCAGGTCAAAGTCCTCGTCGCCGACACCGTTGGCGCCGCCCATCCAGCCGTCGGGCCTCTGCGGCAGCAGCTCACTCGCCTCGAGCGCCACGGCCGGGTGGACCGTCAAGCGGCCAATCTTGAAGACGTACTTGCTCACGCCCGTCGCGTAAATCTTCTTCTCCCACTCGGTGCTGTCCGTGTTGCTGCCCGGGCCGCGGCGCACGCGCGCGGTGCCGAACTTGGGGTCGAGCCACGCGGTCGGGCGCGCGGTGCCCTTGGGGACGAAGTGCGTGACAATGTACAGCCACTTGCGGTCCCAGGACAGGATGCGGGACCACATCTCGTAGGGGGCGTAGGCGGTGATCTCGCGGCGGAAGGAGCAGTGGACGGCGCCGAGCATGATGCCGAGGGCGCCGCGGGCGGGCTTGCCCGACTTGGGGTCGAGCACGAGCTTCGTGGTCGCGTTGTGGGTGAGCTGGCGGAAGCCGGGGCGGAGGAGGTAGGTGCAGAGGTGGGTGCGGGAGACGTCCAGGTCGGAGAAGTAGGTCGAGTTGGACTTGTGGATGTTGTAGTCGATCTCCATGATGGGCGCGTGGGACTCGGAGATCATGGGGCGGAAGAGGGATCGTGGGCCGAGCCGCGGGGACTTGCGGATGAAGAGGTGGTAGATGATGGCGTGCCATACTCGGTACTGCGGACGAGAGCTTGGTTAGTCTAGGCTCTTTTCTCTGGGGTTCGAAGGAGGAGAACGTACGGTCCACACGAAGGGCATGTTCTTGAGGTTCAGCAGGGCAAAGATGAGCATCAGGATGCGGCTGATGCGGCCGGGACCCGTGAAGAAGCTCGCGAGAACCATGCGCCAGTGGATGCGGTAGGCGGCGTAGGCGAGGCCGCCGGCCGTGGCGAGGCGGATGAAGCGCACAACGCGGACGGGGACGCGGTCGAAGTCGGCCTCGGTGCGGGTGGCCTTTGCGATTGCGGACGCCATTGCGGGCGGTGAGGGCTCGCTTCGCGGCAAGGCTGTCTATCTATTCAGGGCGACGCGAGGGAGACGGAGATGTTCTCTTCTTATCCGCAACGGCGGTGGCGGGCCGTCGGGGAGGAGGCGGACGACGAGGAGGCAGCACGAGCTGGCGGACTGCGCCGAAGAGCAGGACGAGGAGGACGAAGGCCCAGAGCGGTAACGAGCGGAGGTGGCACCAGAGCGTGCTGGAGCATTGAGCAAGGAGGGAGGGAGAGGTTGGCATGGGGGATGGGAATTCTGGGTTTTAAAAAAAACCACGAGTATGCGGATCGACGAGTTGCAATGCGCGCTTGTCTACCGGGTCCACGGCTAATAGCTTCTTGTTTTCCCTTGGGTTTGCGATATTGCGGGACCCTCTCGCCGGGGTACCGATACGTCGTTGGGGTGTGCGTGTTTCTTTCTGTTGGGGTCGGAGCGCGCGGTGCTCTGGCGAATTCACGGCTTATCGCAGCACAAAAGGGACCCCCACTCTGGACCGGGTTCGGTGGTTCTCGGTGCGAGCGACTACGTGGAAGGGTGTCGTGGTCGTGCGCCGTGGTACCTGGCGGCGCTCTGTCTTGGTGTGCCCGTGTCCAATTGGAGCTTGTAGGGGCACCTGCTGGGCCTCGGCTCAGCCCTGCTAGCCCCTGAAAATCCGTCCAGTTGAAAATTTCTCTAGGGCGAACGTGAATGTCACTCTTGGCCTCGGCTGGATGGGGTTTACTTCCATGCCAACGGAGGATCGGGCTGATTGCATGAACGCTAGAGTCGGATCCCTCGGAGGCCTGCGGCTGGTTGCTTGGTTGGCTGGAAGCCTGAAAACTGGACACCCACGTCGACTTGTGTTGTATCGTTTGGTGGTATTCGCTGATGGAGGATGCTCTGTCACTTCGATCTGATACGTAATCTACTCGATGGTCTGTCACTGCATGAAGATACGTACGCTAGCCAGCATACCCTGGAGTCCAAATACATCTTGGCCTTTGGGCGATGGTAATTGTCCAATCACCTGACTTTAGCATGCGGCGGAAGGCACTTTCCGTATTACCGGTCGGGACACGGACGCCGCTAGTGGATCCTCGGCTCCGGCCCGAACACGGTCTGCTTTGGAACTCCGGAGCTGCGGGTTATCGCCGGCGTCATACTGCTTGCTGCCAAGTGGAAATTCGACAGAAACATTTTTCTCGGAACAACGGGCCTATATGGATAAAGCAAGTAAGCCTCAAGTCCAAGCTCGAGGCAAACAGATTGGGTTTGGGGGTGTGGTCCAGGACAGATGTAAACACAGTCCGAAGTGAATCAACTGCAATTATTTGCAAGATTTCAGCCTGCTAATTATCAACAATGCTGTTTCAAGATCTATATATAGAGAAAAAAGGATCTGCATCTTGGTTTACCAACTCTGTGAGTTCCGTCGGATATGATGTCATGGGGGTCTTGCACAAGATATAATATCTGGAGATCACCATCAACGTACATTTGTTATTCACGGCGAATCGAAACCCTCAAGTCATGAGTATGATGTCCCTTCTGCGTTGTATGTAGATGAATCTATTTTAACGTGCTTTTGTGAAGGTTAATGGTTCGAAGTCTTCCTGCATTTTCCATGACAATGAAATCACCCCCCCTGCTACCGGATCGCGTTCGAACGAGAGCAAAAACTGTTTATAATCGAAGTAATCGACAAGGCAGCGTAGCTGTTGTTCTTCTCTAGACGCCGGGAGAAAGCCGAAGACATCGTTGTGATAATGGTTCAGCTTATGTCTTTGAGACTTCCGTCCGTTAAGTTGCATCCACAAGTAACCCTCCCGCATTTTGATGTCGATCGTCATTTTGATAGCAGAATTGTAATAGCTGCCCACAATCTGGTCAAGGTCTGGACATTGTGTATTACTTTGGCGATGACTTTCATAATCGTTAGCCATCTTTTGGTAAAGCCCAAGATGCTTCCGAGAGCTTTCTTCGACAATTGCTCTGAAGTCAAGCCGAGGCTGCAAGTCAAAGAGCTCTTGTAGGATGGCCTGAGCCGCCCAATCGGAACAATCCCCTGCACCTTGTGCATTTGTGAGCACAATGACAGCCGAATTGGTCTCAGGAAGTAGGTAGATTGTATTCAGATAGCCTGTGATCTGACCCCCGTGGTAGAACAGCAGCCTTGGCCGTGACTGTTGACCGATAACGTGGTCTGGTTGGGGGCCGTTTGTCGAAAGCCAGCCCAGATGAGAAGACGGGATAATATGTCTCGCCCATCCCAGTCCGTAAGAATTCTCGTTTACCGTGTTATCAGTAACTCGGAATCGATGGGCCAAAATCTCTCGAATCTGACGAAGTGGATTCTGATTAAGAAATGCCGGAGTTTGCTCATCCATTGCAGTACACTCTTTGTTTAGTCGTTCCAGTATGGCAGTTGTCCATTTGGCCATGTCAGGGACGGTAGACCACACTGCTGCTGCTGCGCCTGTAATTGTTGTATCCGAACATTCTGGTACAGGGAGGCGGGCAGACAATTTGGAATCCAGAACAGTGTGGGGTTCGGCAAAGTTGCTATCTGGAAGATCTTTGCGGTTGGTACGAGAGCGTTCCATTCTCAACGGAGAGAAGATACGGCGACGGATGAACTCTCCCCATCCTGAGGCTGTTTCTTCCCCGCCACAAACCTCGATGATCCTTCCAGCTACAGCGTAAAGCCAGTTGGAGTAATGGAATTTGGCTCTGAAGTCAGGAAAGACAGGGATATTGTTGACGACGTGCATGAGATCTTCAGGCGGTAATATGCTCTCCCCTTGAGCACCATACCATGAGATATCGATCTGTGGAAACCCAGTTGAGTGCGATAGAGCATCTCTTAGAGTGGCGCGAGAACTGATCACAGGATCATGATGCTGGTTGAAAGGAACATATGAGGACAAGGGAGAGTCCCAGGCCAGCTTCCCTTCCTCCACCAGAATTCCACAAGACGCAGAAATGAAAGCTTTGGTAAGCGAGCCTAAAAGGTACATAGTATTCTCGTCGACAGGCCGCGGGGGCTTCTCGCTGACATCCATGACGCCCTCATGATGACTGAATATATGCTTACTTTCATGTACAACACCGACAGATATGGAGGGAGTAGATGTTCTCTTTCGTATATGGCTTATTAAGGGAATAATAGACCTCAACCTACAATGGATTAGAGAACCGACATCAAAGGAGCTTAGGAGGCACCAATATTGTGGGGTTCATACCGGATACTCGCTTCAGAAGCTTCGTCTCTGTGTATTGAGTCCATATTGAGTTGAGTAACGCCAATTAAGACAAGGGCCCTGGAATGATAAGAGGCCCCAAACAGGCCAAATCATGGACGTAGGAACGATGGTGATAATTTCGTGACTCAGACGGAATACTGATGAGAGTGAAATACGCAGGCCTTGTCGATGAATGAGCGTAAACTCGGACGGAAGCTGATGGCCAATAAAGAGAGTCCGAGAGAAATGGACTTCAACTTGGAACTTCGATTGGCCGTGGTAGTTCGAAAGGGGGGACGTAGATTCTGGTAATTATTATCTCAGTCAACTCGAGTAATATGGTCCGGCTCGGTTCACCTTGTGTACTCAACACTGAACAGAGTCAAGGGATCACCGAATTTTTGATTCAGAATTGATGCAGGTCTTTGGGAACTACCCATACAGATTGACAATATCTTAGACACCGGATATCCAAATCAGGCTGCAGGGTTGCGGTCACACAACTACGTGGTCACCAGGATCAACGGCCGATAAGCAGGCTGGGCTTGCGGGTGGTCTTACATGCATTCTCAAATCGCTCTAACTGTTCGGTAACGGTCGAAAGAGGGGTCGCCGAGCCGCACTACGGAATATCACATGCCCTACTAAATGCTAGAGTGATTGGCATTTGGAAAATCCTGCCTAGATTTAGCACCATTCCCGGCGCCATCAGGAACTCAGCCCAGCACTTATGGCCTGATTTTCATCCCTGAAAAGGGCCAAACATGGAAGGAACCTGCAGGCCAAGAGAGCCAGGTGTCAAAGTATTAGTTACCGCTTGATCTCTGAGACTTGGTAGAGAGTACTTCCACCGTTGCGGGGTTAGGCTATCGTCACAAGTCAGAATCTCGGTGAGCCATTGCGATGCAACAATCGAGAAACCATGGATCAGGCTGGGGGATACCTCACTGGCTTGTTCAGAATCCTCCATCAGCAAGTCAATAGGAATTGTTAAAATAGTTGCTGAGCCTCAATCTACTGGGTTTCCCTCGCTGCCCACCACCTGGGTCGCTTGAGCACCCAATCCCTTCCATGATCTTGGTGACTTATTAGAAGGCCTAAACTTCTGGTTTTATTATCTATCAGTTAGTCTCTAAATTCATGACTTGCCCGAAATTCCACCGATTTTCTCGCTCTTTCCCTCAACCGCTACCCATTGCATTTCTTTCTGTCAGGGGCCGTTCCAAATCCGAAGCCGTGATCGTTTCGTTATGGATACGGCACCCATAACTCATGCCTCTATGAGGTATTTGATTCCCACCGAGCTTTATAAAACCGAGAAGCCTTATGTGTCAGCCGTTCCTTTCCAACTTGCACCATCGAAAACGACGAACATCTTAGAACGAACATACGAAATACCCGTTCACGATCTACGCGGCCTAGAGGCGGAAGCCACATTAGACAGAAATGGTTTCCAGTACATCCAGCATAAGTTTGAGACAGATCCTAATGAGAAAATTGAGGGTCCTGGCCATCCTTATTTGACCGAAGTTGGAGCTGTATTGAGGACGCTACTAAACGCTGACGATGTCGTCATATACGACTGCAATGTATAATTCATTGGACAATTTCGAAGTGTTAAAACTCATAATTCATAGGTTCGAAAAATCGGGAACAAAAAGTTTTTCCAAGCGGCAACGTCAGCTCATATAGGTCAGTAGTTTCGAAAGCTCAAGAATATTAATTATCTGGTCGTAATGAAACAAGGCTGACTGATTGGCA